CTGTGGGGTCCTGGGTGCTCTCTGAGCTGGGTGGTTTTCTTGCAGACGTTTCATGACCCAACTAGGCGATCAACATCAAGCCACTTGTACATTACCTGAGTGGCAAGCCCCAATCCCTTCTGGCACTGATGATGATCTGTAGTTGAGTCAACTTGTGTTGAGCAAGGTCGTAAAACGGGGCAAAGCTCACTTTTTAACAACTGCCTCCCTTAGCGACAGAACCTCGGGCCTCCATTGTGGCCATAAGTTCAGGACTAGCTGTGTTTGGGGGGGCGGGTGAGCGCAGAAGGCTACTCATGGGTCTGACTGATGTCTCCTTTTTCCAACCTCCTGGAGCTACTCACCTGTTCCTTCTCGGATGGATAGCGTAGAGTAACCCTCGAGCCACTGGTAGCAGGGGAAGTGGAAGACTTCTCCTTGAGGACTAGTCACCTGGGCAGTAGTGCAGTACCAGCTGCTCTGGGGAAAACAAGAATACGGTTCCTTCTGCAGGCGGATGAGCAGGATGGGCCCCAAATCGCGGTCGCATGGGAGGTCCACCTCGGCCACCTGTTGGGAGAAGCGAAGAGACAGGGTCGTGATGCCAAGAGGAGGAGGAGGAGGAGGAGGAGGAGGAGGAGGAGGAATGGGGGCGTCACGTTACATGTGGTTGGTCCGTGGGGTTCTTGCCAGACGTTCGGTCAACACTCTCGCACAGGGGTGGCCAACCTTGGTGGCTTTAAGACTCGTGGACTTCAACTCCCAGAATTCCCCAGCCAGCTCTTTCCCTTCTCTTCCCTCATCCCCTTTACTTCTCCTCCTCCTCTTCCTCTCTCCCTTCCCCTCCTCCTTTTCCATCCCTTCTCTTCGTCCTCTTGTCTCTCCTCCTTCTCCTTCTTTTCCCTCCTCCTCCTCTTCTCTCCTCCTCCTCTTTCCATCCTTCCTCCTTCTCCTCTTCCCCCTCCTCCTCCTTTTTCATCCCTCCTCCTCTCCTCCTCTTCCTCCTTGCCCTCTCCTCCTCTTCTCCTCCTCCTCCACTTTCTCCTCCCCCTCTCCCTCTTCTCTTGTCCTCCTCCACTTTCTCCTCCCCCTCTCCTCTCCTCCTCCTCTTTCCATCCTTCCTCCTTCTTCTCCTCCCCCTCTCCTCCTTTTCCATCCCTCCTCTTCTTTCTTCTCTTCCTCCTCCCCCTCTCCTCCTCCTTTTCCATCCCTTCTCCTCTTTTCTCCTCTTTCTTCCTTTTCCTCCTCCTCCTTTTCTATCTCTTCTCCTCCTTCCTCCTTTCTACTTCTCCTCTTCACCCTCTCCTCCTTTTCCATCCCTCCTCCTCTTCTCTCTTCTCCTCCTCTTCCTCCTTTTCCATCCCTCCTCCTCCTCTTTCCATCCTTTCTCCTCCTTCATTCTTCCTTCTCTCCTCTTCCTCCTCCTCCTCCTCCTGGAATTGAAGTCCACAAGTCTTCAAGTGGCCAAGGTTGGACACTCTGCTGTAGCAGATGGAAGATTCCCTCCCAGCCTGTCCTTATCAGTAGGGGCATCATCTTGAGAAGGTTGAATTTGGTCCTTCTCGGAGGCTGCCGCTGAGAAGACTCTCCCTGAGCCAGGAAGCAGCCTGTTCTTTCTGCGTCTTGGTGGCGTTGGGCTTCTAAAATTGGGGTGAACTCCCTTGCAGAAGGAGGCACGCTCAACCCATGGTGCCAACTCAGCTTCAGTTTTGAGGCTTCGGCTGCACCCAGGAGATCAATATCTATGTTGTGTTACCAGACAGGACTGTCAGGTCCAGGAATTTGGAAGACATGGGAAGAGAGGTTGGAGCAAATGAAAAGGTTCCGAAAAGAAAAAGTAAAAAGAAAAAGAGAGACACAATACTGTGGGGTCCTGGATGCTATCTGAACTTGGCTGTTTTATTGCAGATGTTTCATAACCCAGCTAGGAAACATCATCAGTACTAGAAGGGAGGAACAGAAGGAGGAAGAGGCCTTGTTGGGGTCCTTGAAGCTCTTTGAACCTGGT